TTGGGTGTATTACATTCATAGATAAATGAAACAAGTTGAGATTGGAAAGTGCCCATAAGAACAATGTAAACACTATTTGGTCGCGACCCAAAGCTTTTGATAATTTCGGGTCGGTTCGGCTTTTTTCGGAATTATGTCGTCAAATATTATTTATTAAAATTTATTATTATTTTCTTTTAATTTTATAAATAAAATACAGTGTCTTGCATACAAGAAACTTTATCTTATATAAGGACATGTATGTGAAATACCTATAAAACATTGGAAACCGACGTTATGCCACAATCCACGATGGTTTTTGCAGTTCACAGTTCACAACACAGTTTTTTAGTTTTTAATGCCACTTTTCACAATTATCACGGGTTTGAGTAAGTAAAATTTAAATTTAAATTCACAAGATAGCAATAATTACTGTGACAATGAACGCTTTAAAGACTTTTCGGTATTTTTTCAATGTAGGCGGTTTAAATTTTGAAAGATTTTATAATTTTTGAAGGTTCTGACTTTGACAAGAGAAAATTATTTCTGTTATTGTTTGGCGGTTGTCTTTAGCAACCGCTATAGCAGCGCCAGATCGCGTACAACGGTCGCGACCCAAAACAATTACATATTTTGACGGACTTTCCAAACTAAATTTATTTCCTTTATCTATAATTACGTTGGTCTTGTTTTATTGTAATAAACGATGTTCATATATTTGACTTCTAGTTTTTGCATGTATAAATTTTCCTACTAAATTTTATTTTTTACACAACACATAGTAGTAAAGCTATACATTAGATTTGTTATTATTGTGTAAAAATAACTGTTAATATGGTTTTCGTATTTAAAATGATAGTTTCAAGTGAAATTATATAAATGAGCGTATTTAAATTCAGACCCTCTCAATAGCCACTAACATGGAACCATTTTTTAGTAAAGCACATTTCTTTCTTTGTCTTGGTATATTCTTTGTTCTAAACGTTAGGCTTTTGCCTCATTCGAACCAGTTTTAAATTACAAAAATATATTTCGGGGACACTAAGCGTAGGTACTATAAAGGTAGTAGTGTAGAGAGCACAACAATCGTAGGTTGACAACTTAAGGTATGTTGATATTTGAGCTGGTTTTGCATTGTTATCTGTACGCTATGTTTGTACGGTTTAAACTTAAAAACAAGCAGAGCAAATTTAAGAAAAATACAAGCAGTTTTTCTTAAATTACTTAAAATCGGCTTGTCCAAAATTGTTCAAATTTGGAATGTGGATTCGGTATCAGCAGACCTTTTAAAAACCTATTTACAACTTTGCTGTAAAATTAACAGGGGAGCCAATAACTCGACAGTTCATTTTGGATGCGATTTCCTATGTTTCCAACGACGATGCACCACCCGGTATATATTCGAAAAATATATTTTACCAAATAGATTAGCGTGTAAATAGGCATGTTCGGTCCTCCGGTATACTGGTATCAGAACCGGTACTTTTGAAATATTCCGGTACCGGTATCGTCATTTACAAAACCGGTATATTTACCGGTTTTAGTACCGGTATCGGAAGTCCGGTCCCGAAAGACCGGAAGATCGGTTTCAATCGGTACAGAAAAATAGGTTCATAATAATATAAAAATCAAAAAACCTGTAAAAACGATTTCGGTACTAGTTACGTGTGTTTCTGGCTCGGAACGCAGAAATGTTCCGGTGCCCAAGTAGTTAGATTTTTTATAGGCAGAAAGTTTTTATAATATTGGTTTTGTATAGTAATAAATATAACAAGCATTTGATTGATATTATATTATCCTCATTAACTCATTATAGCTTAATTATTTCCTTCTCATAATAAAATTCACATAGAACAAGAATCATACAAAGTTCTGCCGTGTTAAAGAAAAATGCCTTTCAGGTTAAAAATAAAGCAAGAGAAAATGTTTTCATTAAAGAAATAACATGTATAGAAGTGAATCGCTATGGCAATCTAGTAAGTCAGAGAGAGCAAAAATTTAATTCATAAAATAAATTAATAATTATTTAATCTGGCGCTAGATTCCATACGCTTGGGAAAATACTTGCCTTCTGTCTTTATTCAGTACATCCTATTTTACTAACCGTGTTGACCGTCCTCTTCGTAGACACGAAAATCGGCACCCAACACCAAAAATGCCGACTGTAGTATACTCACTGACACAACAACCAAAACTGTTATTTCGGTCTTTCCGATATTTCGATCCAACCGGTCGTGCGGTCTGGTTCAACCGGTATGCCGGTTCAGTATCGGTCCCACCAAATACGTTTAAATTTCCCATACCGCGGCCTCCCCATAAGAGCAATGAGAGAATTTATGTCCCAGTATTGAAGGAGGACCGAAAATCGAGTCAACTGGTTTCAAGACATAGGTTCATCCTTGTTTAGTCAAACCTCCTACCACACAAGGATAGATTTATGTAGGAAATGCATTGAAGTTCTATAGCCATCCTTTAACATCGGGACAGGAATTTAAGCGGTACCCTCCGTATAGGTAATTTCAACGTATTTGGGTCCCACCGATCTAATTGTTGGAACCGGTATATCCGTTATAGGACCGATACTTCCTGATACCAGATACCGGTACTAAAACTTAGAACCGAACATCCCTACGTGTAAATGACTGTCGGGTATAAACATTTTTATTTCTTTTTAATTAAATAACAATTTATAAATAGTTTTTATATGGATTTAAGTAAATAACAGAATTAGAGTTTGACTCAACAGAAATTATTATCGATTGTAATTTTAAACGTCCCTTTAACGCCATTTTTTTCTCGGTCCAGTGATCCACGCTGTTCCACCTAGGGAATGCAATCCCGCACCAAAATCTCAATCCCGCAAACCTGCGGGATTAAAGCAATCAATCCCGCGGATCCGCAAAATTGCGGGATTGTAAACGGATTGTAAACAATAAATGCTCTTCTTTTCTCTCTCCGATTTTGGGATGAGGTTTGGACCAGGTTTTAGACGCATCGATTGTGATAAGATGCTATGTGGTTTTCGAAAATATATTTAGCGAATTCTCGTATACAGAGTGTTTTATAATAGTGTACAAATTTGGTCAAGAATTTTTTTTACCGAAAATTTACAATTTTTGAAAAATCGAAATTTTAACTATGTACGACTAATCTGTGTTCAAATTAGAAAAAACAATTAGGTGTTTTTTTTTAATTTTCTGTTTTAACGAAAATACGAGTTTTTTTTTCGAAAAATATGCATTTATAGCCATACATTTGTTCCTAAATGGTACAAAAGGCATTGTACATTTTGCATAGGCCCACAATATACTGATATAGCGTGTATCTTAAACTAGCTGAACAGAAATTTGGACCGATGTATACGGGGTGTTAAAAAAATATATTTAATATTAAATAAACTTAAATTTTATTATAATTTATCTACCTGTTTTATAAATAAAAGTATTATTCTGATGTTGAAGGGTTTTTTTTCAATTTGTGTTAGTTATCTGTGTTTAGATACACTCTATATCAATATTTTTTTGGCATATGCAGAATGTACAAATTTAGTACCATTTAGGACCATCGTATGACTAAAAATGCATATTTTTCGAAAAAACGTCGTATTTTCCTTAAAACAAAAAAAATAAAAAACCGATCAAATTGTTCTTTTTTAATTTCAATACAGATTAGTCGTACTTGGTAAAAATTTCGATTTTTTAAAAACTGTAAACTTGCGGTAAAAAAGATTCTTGACCAAATTTTCACACTCTTATAAAACACCCTGTGTACGAGAATTCGCTAAATATATTTTCGAAAATCACATAGTATCTTAATCACAATAGATGCATCTAAAACCTGGTCAAAACCGCATCCCAAAATCTTTTTTTAGTTCAAGAGATATTCAACTTAAATTTACCATAAAATTTTGCTTGTCCCGATAATTATGTCCGGCAGTTTATTTACCAAAATTGTCCACAAATACTAGTTAAACGCTTTTCTTCACTTTCACGTCTCGCTAGAAAAAAATCTAACAACTAACCTGTTTGTTTCACTTATTTTTAATGGCCAAGGCGTAAGGGGAACCCCTGGTATCGATCCCGCAGATTCCGCACGGTAAATCCCGCAAATTTGATCCCGCCGAATCACAGAGGGATCCCGCATTTGCGGGATCGAGCATTTGCGGGATTGCATTCCCTAGTTTCACCTCTATATTTTTGTATACTGTGTTACGATGCCATTACTTTTCGATTACTGAAGTAATTTTGAACTACACAGAATCTTTTAAAATTTTAATTTCGGCATGGAAATGTATAATATTAATTTTAATAAATTAAAATAACTTTAACGGTTTTACTCTTGGACAAATTTTATATATCTAAATCTAGCTTCTCTACGAAACAACTTAACTTCTAAAGCAGTAACACATACTAAATCAGACCTTCTCATATACATCAGTAGTTACCTGTTTCACACATTGAATGAATAGATTAAAGATTGAGAACATCAACAAAACCGGCAGGATCGGAAAGGAGTTTTGATATGGCTGACTTGAATTTCGGTTTCTCAGTGGAGTTCTACAGGGTGACCCAGGCTTCCGAAAGAGCTCTAACGTGCGGTACGTCCAAAAACTGGACATACGAAATCTCATGTAAATTTTGAAATTGTAAAATATTATCTCCCCAGATGATTTTATGCAAAAATTGTATTAGACTTTTTTAAGGAGGCGTTAAAATTGTATAGTATTTCCTGTACGGAGTGCTGAGACAAAAGTACTGAGACTCTTAATTCCTTTGACCGACGACGCCGACAAAGGCGCCGGCAAAAACAGTGCCGAAATTATGAGTCCAATTCTATTCCAACTGACTTCTGATAAACCATACTTTCGTCTAGAATTTCGTTTTATTTAGAATAGGTATCTAAAAGTGATTTGAAAAAGTCTACCTTCAAATTACTAAAAATTTATAATACGGTCCAGAGTAAGCTACAATTATTGAAATACCAGCAAAAATATGATTTTGAAATAGTCATTGTCAAATTCAATGTCACATTTTTTTAAATACAAGAATTTATATATAACTCCGCCTGGGGCAGCTGTGGGTGGATTGAGTAGCTCACAGTTGTCACTGCCGGTCCCAAGCCCGGATAAAGGAGGAGGGTTCTTAGGTAAGGCTAGCAACCTGCTTAAGGTAAAACACTCACATGCTCAAAGCACCGGTAATACAGCTTCGGAACCAGGATTGATTTCACAGATAACGACCAACGCGCGAAAAAGGACAAGGAACAAACTTTATATGAAGAAGCAACAAATAAGAATTGCATGCTGGAATATAAAAACAGTTTATTCGAAAGACCATGAACTAATTCCCGAACTCAACGAACATAAAATAGACATATGTGCACTTTCCGAAACAAAAAAGAAAGTTAAAGAAACAACAAAACTCAATAACTACATTTTAGTATACTCAGGCGTACCAAAAGACCAAAGAGCAACATCAGGCGTTGGAGTAGCTATAAATTATAAATATGAACAGAATATAGAAAGCATAGAATACGTGTGCGACAGAATCCTGAGAGTAAAGATTATGTTTGACCAACCCATTCACATTATATCAGTGTACGCACCCGACATTAATAAACCTGAAGAAATGTCAATGGACTTCTACGAAAATCTACAGTCAGCGATAGACAAAATACCAAGGCATGAAAAGATAATTCTGTTAGGGGATTTAAACGCAAGAATTTGAAACGAGGTAGTGGATGGAGGATGGAGTAAAACAAAAATACAACGAAAATATAACTAATATAAATGGCGAAATTTTGACCGAATTCTGTGGACAGAACGAACTGAGAATAAACAACACATATTTTCCCCATAAAGAACAACACAAATACACCTTCTATGACAATAGAAACAATAAATCAATAATCGATTATATCTTCACCAATCGAAGTTTCTTAGCTCAACAAATAATAGACATAAGAGTCTTATCCTCAGCCAACATTGGAACAGATCACAAACTTGTGCTAGGAAATATACGAATAGGTGCGCCGCTATCCAAAAAAAGACCATCGATAAAAACTGAAAAATTCAATATAGAATCCCTCAACCACGAAAGCACTAAACAACTTTAATCAAACAGATGCCAAACACATGTCACTCTTAACCCCATAGCACAGTTTGATACTCCTAACACAGCTTGGAACAAACTGAAAGAAAACATCTGCAAAGGTGCTAAAGAAGCTTTAGGAACACGTACCGTATCACACAATAGAAGACCGAACATTAAACCTTGGTTTACATTAGAAGTCAAGAACATTACAAGGGAAAAGAAGGAAAAATACTTACAATACAAGAAATCTCCAACACCGGAGAACCGAAATATCTATACCGAAATAAGGAACAGGACTAATAATAGAGTACGAGAAATTAAAGAAGAATATTGGCAGCGATTTAGTAGCGAAATGGAGGCAGATATGTACGGACCACAAAAACATATTTGGAAGATGTTGAGGGGTTTGAAACGAGAAACAAATGAAACAATACAACTAAGAACAATTGCAGAAGATACGTGGGAAAAATATTTCAGAGACTTATACGCAGAAACAGATGAACCAATGGAAGCACAAGAGACAAGCCAAAGAGATAATATAGAAGATTATGCGCAAATCACTTACAAGCAAGTAGAAGAGACAATAAGGAAACTTAAAAATAGAAAATCTCCTAATCAAGATAAAATACCAAACGAGCTAATAAAAAACGCAGGCACGGCTATCATAGAGGAATACACAAAACTGTTTAACATTATATTACAACATAAGAAAATACCAGAAGAATGGAAACAAAGTATAACAATACCTATTTTTAAAAAGGGAGATAAAACAGACCCAGCAAACTATAGAGGAATAACATTACTGAGCACCTCGCTAAAACTTCTGACTAAGAACTAGTTGAAAAATCCTTAGAATATAACTCTCCAACCTATCTATGTTTTATAGATTTAACAAAGGCCTTTGATAGAGTCCAACTAAAAGACATCATCACCATCTTGGAAAGCAGTAATGTCTCGAAAGAACTCACAGAACTTATAAAGGACTTAAACACAAACACAACAACCCAAATAAGAACAAACTTTACCTTAACGCAGCATCTTCGAACTACAACTGGTATTCGCCAAGGCGACAGTCTCAGCCCTCTGTTATTCAACACAATCATGGATCAAGTAATAAAAACCGTCAAGAATACTGGATTATGATATCGAATGGGAATGCATAAAGTAAACATATGCCGATGACGCAGTACTTATTGCAGAGTCAGAGGACGACCTCCAAAGAATGCTACAAGCTTTTAACAGACAGGCAGAAAAACTTAACATGCAAATTTCCACAAATAAGACCAAATGCATGACCATTACAAAGGAGCCTCTACGGTGCAAATTGGTAATAAAAACAAAACTATTGATCAGATAATGTCATTCGAATACCTCGGATGCAAAATTACAAGCTCAGGATTCCTGGAAGAAGAAGTAAGGAAACAAGCCAATAAAGCTGCCGCAATATCATGACATCTTAAATATCCCATATGGAAAAACAAACATTTGAGTACAGAATGTAAGTCAAGAATATACAAAACCTGCATACGACCAGTGATGACATATGGTGCGGAAACCAGAGCTGGAACATCAGTAACAAAGAGAATCCTACGAACTACTGAAATGAAGACCTTAAGAATGATAACTGGATACACATTGAGGGACAGACAGAGAGAAATGTAGACATAAGAGAAAAGTGCCAAACAAACGACGTTGCCAGATGGATAAGGCAGAGAAGAAGAGAATGGAACCAGCATGTTAATAGAATGGGCCCCGACAGAATGGCCATAATAATTCGCAACAACGTACCCCATGGCAGAAGACCTACTGGACGACCACCTAAACGTTGGCAAGACAGTTGGCAGTCAACCTCGCAAGAGTTGCTTAGACGAGGAGGAAACCGGAACTAAACAGGCGCCTTCTAAAAGAAGAAGAAGAAGAATTTATATGGTATGGAAAGTTTTTTTTCTAAATTGAAATGATCACCTACAAAAGAACTAGTTGAACTGAGAATAGGAGTATGACTTGATTGCTGTTCATTACTCGATCACTTGCAGGTCTCGCTTCTACCACATACAGAGTAACGCCTCTCATACGCCGCGGAGGCTCCAAGGAGAACGACCGTTTGTATTGAAATGAAGTTTTGGAAGCATAATATGTAGGTTAATTCAGAGCACTTTTTAAAAAATAGAGAATTCTACAGGGTGTCCCCAAAAAAAGGTATATATCAAAGTTGTGTTTTTTGTAATGGAACACCCTATATATTAATTGATTTTCGGATTCTCAGAGAAAAATAAAGGTGAGTTTTATAAGAGAAGTATATAACTAAAATGTAAGATTTTTGACATATTTAACATTTTCTAGAAATAAAGAACAATTTTTAAATTACAATAACCGCTACCTAAATTGGAATTTACCCGGTATAGCCTAATATGTAGATAAATTAACTATTGTACTTTAAATCAAATTAAAACTTGATCAAAAAAGTTAAAAGTTATACAGGGTGAGACAAAAGTAATATTGAACTTGGGTCACCTTTAAAAGCATGTTACTCTTTTATTTTAAATGGAATACCCAGTATATTGTTCCGATATTCTATGGAAAATTCAAGTCTCTTGAAAATACTATTAAGGTTGCCTACCCCTCAAACAAATATTTTCCTAGATATTTTTATTTACATGATTTGATCTGAGTAGATCTTTATTATTTGATAAAATCTAGGGTGGCTGTGATATGTCTGACGTTACTTGAACATAGCTGTCTGATTAGTCCAACTTTAACAAATAGTTATCATTTTGTGTCAGTTAAAACAAAAAATTCTCAGAAATTTGCCGAAAATGCAAACTTATCCTAGATCAGAAAGAATTGATATGATTCTATAAGTTGGTGAATGCAGTGTGCATTCACCAATTAATAGAATACTTAAATGCTCCTGATTTTATCTAGTCTAGATTTTTTATGGAGATATGTTAAAGACAGTGTTGACAAAATTCGACCAACTATTGTCGACAACATGAGAGAAATTATTGTATCTGCTTTTCGAGGTAGAACTCATTGGCGTAACTACAGGGGTGCCCAGGGGTACTGCTGGGCACCCCCCAGAGAAATCCTGAATTATGACTCTTGGCAACGTATTTGTATTTGCTTGTGATGCAATAAAAATGACGTTTTCTAGTTTTGTTTAGTTGATATTATTTTGTTGTGTTCAAAAATGTGTTAATTTTTATTTTTTTAGAAAATTTGTAGGTATTTAAGTAATCTACGGGATCACGGTTTGATAACAAGTATATGAAATTTATTGATAGAGAAATTCATGTAAAAGGTTTTATTTAAAAAATGTGCTTTCTATTTTTGCTTATTACTTTTCATTTGTGCTTATTTTTTTTCATTAAAAAAAAAGCTCTAGCCCCCCCCCCCTGAGCTCAACCCCGGGTCCTCCCAGACCCACCCCGGGATAAATTGCTAGTTACGCTAATGGTAGAACTTCACATATGCCTTTTAAAATGAAAAGATCCTTTTGAAAAGACAATCATTTTATGCAGTTAACAGGAAAGGAAACATTTTGAGCATTTGATTCCATGTAACTAATTTTTGTCACATAATTGTATGTTTATATCTAGTTTTAATTCTGTAATAACTAAAATATGTTTTAAACGTGTATCTTTTTATACCGTTGAGTATTTTGCTTAACAATCTTTTTGTTAAATTAACAAAAGGTATATCACACAGCCACCCTAGATTTTTTCAAATAATAAAAATAAAATATCTAGGAAAATCTTTGTCCGAGGGGTAGGCAACCTTAATAATATTTTAAAGATATATAAATTTCCCATTGAACACCGGAAAAATATACTGGGTGTTCTATTTAAAATAAAGGAGTAACTTGCTTTTAAAAGTGACTAATGTTCCATATTAATTTTGTCTCACCCTGTATAACTTTTCGGGTCAAATTTCAATTTCGTTTAACATACAATGGTTATTATAATTAAATATCAGGCTATACAAGGTCAACTAAAATTTAGGTGACTGTTATCGAAATTTAAAATTTACTCTTCATTTTCACAAAATGTGAAAATATGTCAAAATCCTTTGATTTTAGGTATATGCTTCTTTAATAAAACTCACCTTAATTTTTTTCCTAGAATCCGAAAATCAATTAATATATAGGGTTCATTAGAAAAAACAAAACTTTGATGTGTAATTTTTGTTGGGGACACCCTGTATAATTCTATATATTTTTATAAAATGCTTTCAGTTAACCTACATATCCTGCCAAAATTTTATTCCGATCTAAACTACCGTTCTCCTTGGAGCTTCCAAGTATGAGAGGCGCCACCCTGTATATGCAAGTATTGTACAACAAATAACTTATATAATATAAAGTCTAGAGAAATCGTCCTAAACCATTTTCAAAACTGTGAGAATTTTTTCCACCGATGAGCCTTTTTTAATTAATTTGACTGGGGTATTTTTTGTCCTTTTCAAAATTTACATGGGATTTTCTATGTCCTGTGTACCGATGTACCACACGGTATATTAGGTTTTCGGTTTGCGATTTTCATCAATTTTTTTTACATAATATGGGGTATCGTAACGCACATTTTTGTCAACATACAGTAAATAAAGAAAAGAAAATATTAAAAATTAAACAGCTA